TTCAGCAGGAATAGGATCATCTTGATGTTGTTCAAACATTGGAATAGGAAGAGGTAAATTCTGATCTGAAATGGCATTGGCTTTATAGGGAAAGATATTCTCATGAAAGACAACGTCTCGAGAAACCAAAATTTGTCGTGTTTTAAGGTCATAAACCTTGAATCCTTTGGTACCATGACTATAACCCACCATAACACACCTAAAACTTCTAGGAGGGAATTTGTCCTTGAAAGGTTGAGAGTTAGTAGCATAACAAAGGCACCCAAAAACTTTGAGATTTTGATAGGAAGGCAGTTTGTTATGGAGGATCTGAAACGGTGTTTTCCAGTTAAGAATTTGAGTAGGTAAACGATTTATAATGTACGTAGCCATCAGAATAGATTCTCTCCAAAAGAATTTAGGCAAGTTTGCTTGAAATATGAGAGCTCTCGCAATTTGTAATAAGTGTCTGTGCTTCCTCTCTACAACACCATTCTGTTGAGGTGTATAAACACAAGTTGTTTGATGTATTATACCATTATCAACAAGGAATTTTTTAAAATCAGAATTAACAAATTCAGTGCCATTATTCAGATCGAACAGATTTAATATCAATGTGGAATTGATTTCGAAGAAATTGGTGAAAGGCTTTGAAAGTCTGGAAAACCTGAGTCTTATGTTTGAGAAGAAATGTCCAAGTGGCTCTACTTAGGTCATCAACAATGGTTAAAAAATAATGTGCCCTGGAAATGGAAGCTTGCTTGTAGGGTCCCCATAGATCTATGTGAATCAATTCCCCTACCAGTGTGGTTTGAATCGAACCGGTTGGAAAAGGTAACCTTGTTTGTTTGGAAATGGCACAAATATCACAATATGGAGGACAATCATCATTACAAGCACTCAAGATATCTAAATGTTTCATAGCTTTAGTAGAAACGTGGCCAAATCTCTTGTGCCAAAGATTCAAAGATCTGTCAATAACAAGGTTTGATGATACAGGCAGATTATTACATTGAGAAGAAACAGAATTACAAATGGAAACTTTGAATTTATTTAGAATTGATGGAGAAAAAGAGGCTTGATCTAGGATATAGAGATTCCTGAAAAGTCTACCAACTGCTTTGATTTCATCAGTCCGATGGTCTTGTAAAATGCAATGGTTATCATAAAAAATGAGTTTCAACCTCGAATGTTTTGTCAGCTTGCTGACAGATAATAAATTGAACTTGAAGGTAGGAATATGTAAAACATCTTTTAAGACAATAGTAGGATGGATGATGATGTCTCCAGTGTGTTGAACAAAATTGATGGATGCATCAGGAAGATAAACTGGAATAGCAGATATGCATTGTTCAGGTGTTTTAAACAAATTAAAATTGCTACACATATGATTAGATGCTCCAGTATCCAATATCCAAGAACCTATTTCTAAAAGGTTTGAAGCATTTAAAGTTAGAATGGTTTCAGGTTTGAGAACAGAACCTGCGCAGTCACCAAAATGAGCAAAATTAACCGTGTCATCTCTGCTGTTTCCTTTCATCATCTTCACCAGTTCGTGATGTATCATCTCTGAAAGATTATGGTTCTGCAACTTATCCTTCATTTCCTGATTGGTTCCAAGTGGAGTATCAGCCATGTTTGAAAATCTCATAGGTCCAGATCTATGTTGATTTTTTAATTGTTTGAACCAATCTGGATATCCTATGAGTTTGAAACAACCATCCTTGTTATGACCATTAATTTTGCAGTGAGTACAATATAATAATTGTCTCTCCCTCTTTACCATATCATAATTTTTTCCTCCTATAGGTCTAGCTGCCTGATCTTTCTTCAGATTGTTTGTTCTAGAAAACATAGCACTCATTTCAGTCTCATTACCAAAGGCTATGTGTACCTCTTTCTGTTTTTCAATCCTTTGAATCATAGAATAAGCCTTGTTAACAGCAGGTAAAGGTTCCATAACTAAAATTTGACTTCGAATTTGTTCATATTCTTCACTTAATCCCATAAGAAATTGCATCAATCTGTTAAACGAAGTTATATCTGACACTGTCTTGGCTGAGCCACAGGTGCATTCAGGCAGAGGCATGAGATATGTTAATTCATCCCATAGACCTTTCAATTTAGTGTAGTATTGAGATACTGATTGACTACCTTGTGTTATTGAGCAGATTTCCCTTTGTATCTGGTATAGTTGTGGACCATTACAACCTCCGAATCTCTCTTCTAACTCATTCCATAGCTCTTTAGCAGAGGTAGTGTATAAAAAAGCTTCAACAATGTCTTTTGAAATAGAATTTAAAATCCACGAAGTTATCATGCAATTGACTCTGTTCCATTTCACAAATTGAGGTGAATTCTTAGCTGGAGTTTCAATGGTACCATCAATGAACCCTAGCTTCATTTTTGCACCAAGTGCAATTTTAATCGACCTACTCCAAGCCAGAAAATTCTTCCCAGTAAGAGGCACTGTAACAAGCGACATCCCTGGGTGATCAGAGTTACCTAACTGAAGTGGATCTCCTTCATCGGCTTCGCGACGACCTCCATTTCGTTGATCTCCATTTATTTCTGAATTATTTCCTTCTTCGAATTCATCAGCCATTTGAACTGTAATAGTTCAAATCACTAATAATCAAAAGGCATTAGATCCAATCTCCAAGATCTTTTAGCTCTGATACCATGAAGAAATCGAAATTCGAAGAATTGAGATTTCAATTTTATTCAAAACTCTTAGCTGAAAATCAGCTCTGCATCCAAGATATATACACGGCTGAAGAAACAAACATAACCGAAAGAGAAAAAGTCATATCCCATCTAAGTCCTAAACTATGAAACAGATACAAGGACAGATAGAATAATTGCAACAAAGGTCCTGAAGAATATAACATGTGAACATTGAGTACATAAAATTCAATACACGTTGTCAATGACAACCAACAAAGAAAGAATCGAAATCTTGGAAGCTGGGGTTGGCAGTTTGCAGGATGGTATTAACAGAATAGAGGCTTCTAACACAACTAAAATAAAATAAAATAAATGGAAAACAGAAAATAGAATAGCTACAAATCCTCCAACAGCTAGTTGATGTGGTAAACCTGCCCCTATCCATTGGTTACAGTTTCTTTAGTCCCTCATCCTATTCTTCATCCTCCAAACTTAGGATTTGGTTTTGGCACTCAATGATTTTCATGGCTCATCAGAAACCCAGGACCAATAGCAGATGGAAACTTAGTGAGAAGTATACAAGTGGACTGTTTTGTAGCATTTTTTTTCATTTTTTGGCAAAAGCTCTAGCCTTGAGGCCAAACTATATATAGGCTATTGGAATTGGGTAAAAACTTTGTTATCGCTTTGGGTTGCAAAATTATGGATTGAATCTGACTCAACATCAAATGTTCAATATGTGCAACTCAATCGTCGTTGCCCAAGGAAATTTCAAATTGTGATGATAATATAGCCTAATATAAACAACTTACTAATCTTACAAGCTTCTCTGATATTTCTTTATCTCTTTTTTGCTTTATTTGTCTTATTGTAATGAAAATGGTAATTATAATCTTACAAGCTTCTCTGATGTTTCTCTATCTTTGATTTAAGTCTAGACGTAAGGGTCATATCCCCTCTCCTATATACTATGATTTTTTATTAATAAAATAAGTTCGGGGAATCCAAACTCCCCAAATTGGATTTAGGTTGAAAACCCAACCAAGGCTTTGCCAGTGTTTTGGTTTTAAAAAAGTTCAATTTCATTTTGGTTCTTTAAAACTATTAAAAAGACTATTCACTCTTCCATCCAAGCTAGCCATAGGTTGTCAAGAGGCACATAAAGTACGACTCTTAACCAAATCAATTATAAGAAAACCAATAAGGAGTCACCATATGACATTCCTCCAAAATGACCTAATTACCCCCAAAACTCAGAGGGTAATCTATAAATATCCTCTCATTTGAATAAGAAAGGTATATAATTCAAATATTTCCCTACTAAATAACCATTCTATCTCTAGCTCTTGTTTGAGCATCAAAACTAGTAAGATTTGGTGGTGAAAGTTATAGTTAGATGAGAAAATTTGTTTATCTGATTTTTGTCGTTAACAAATTAGCGTCATTTGTGGAAAATTTTGAATAAAGTAAACCACAAAATTTTGTTATAGCCAAAATCAAAGGACACTGTAGCAATGAGCTTATGGATAGTCATGCTAATCCAAAACGACTGTGAGAAAAGAAGTTGGCTAAATTGCAAATTAGAATTTCTCATGCTAAGAGTCACTATTTAAGAAAAAAAAAAGCATATATTGCTGAAACGATCCAAGAAGATGGCCAAATGAGCCAATTCGTACAACATAAACAATGATAATATTTTCATACAAAAAGAAATGAAATTTCATTAACGCTGAAAAATGAGACAAAATGAAAGCTATCTATTTAAATTGACAAACGGTAGCAGATTCCCAAAAGTGAGGTCATCTTGGATAACCAAGGTGTTACCCTCAAAAGGGTAGACTCGACTCAAAGAGAGGAGGAACATAAGTAGAAGCCTCACTGGCTTGTCTTGAGCAACGGCTCGTTGGGAGGGAAAGCTGATGGGATTGCAATTTTGGCAAGTTTGACAGAAGTGGATGAATTATTAAAAGCCTTGTTGACTAGTGGAGTGTCCTTGAAGAATGAGGTGTCCCCGGCATACTCTTCACAAGCCTCTAGGAAATCCACATCCCAGATGAAAATTCCTCCAAAACTTTGTTATCTCCATCTTGCATGGCCTCCTCAATAAGCCTCGCTTTGTTAGCCTTCGCCTCAGAAAGACCAGACTGCACAAGAGACAACTCCGTCTCATTACTTTCCAATTGATTGAGAAATAAGGCCTTTTCACTCCTTGCCTTATCTAAGTCATTGGAAATAGCAAATTGTTCGGCCTTAACTGACTGAAGCTCCTCTCTGAGGTGTAAAAGTTAAAATCAGATTTAAAGACATAAGCACCAGGCTTTCTTTGTCCCAAGGATATAGCTAATTGTTCGTCCTTAACTGACTGAAGCTCCTCTCTGAGGGGTAAAAGGTAAAAGCAGATTTAAAGACATAAGCTCCAGGCTTTCTTTGTCCCGTTCCAAGTCCTTGGTGACTTTTGTAACATCAGCAGCCAAAGTAGCCTAAAACATTCAAATGGAAAGGAAGTAAAGCTTTCCCAATACGTCATAGTATTAAATAAACAAGAATTTGTAAGAGTGAAATCTCCGGTCAACACAAACAAAGAAAACATTCTTTTTCTATGTGCAATATAAGAAATAGAAAACATATAAAGAAAAGGGAACTAAAATCTCATATTCATTAAATGTTCATAAAAGGCTATAACCATAAGAGGGAAAGTTTAAATTTGAGATTATTCGAGACGCAACAATACTATGATCTCACTCAAATCCCTCTAGATAAAATTAATAAGGCCTTAATTCCAATCATTGATAAAAATTTATGACCTCTTTGTAATTACTACTAAACTCACTCATAAATCTGCATGCTTGGGTATGTACTTTAACCCTGAGTTGGGGACTAACACTCAACTTAGTAATATTCAAGTATAACCTTGGAATTGCAGAGGATAGATATCAACAATGGCATAACTCCTTGGGACTCTGAACTTCTCCAAAAGAAGAAACAACACTAGAAGGAGGCATTCTAAAAAACTTTAAGCCCCTGGAGCCATAGGAATATATTTTGGAAAAATAAATAAGCAAGGTGTAAGCACAAGATAAAATATAAGAATGTACCCAAATAGAAAAGTTTAAAGATAATGGAAGAGATTAGAATCGTCGGTAAGCAAGAGTATCGCTACAAGCAAGGATAGCTGTGGAAAAGTGAAGGATATATTCCTAAGTTCAAATGAAAGGTTTGAAACGTTGATTGGATCAGTAATATATCTAGACCATAAAATAAATGTGAACTGCTCATCCGTCCGGCTAGCCACAGGCTCTCAAGAGGTACATAAAGTATTACTCTTAACTGAATCGGTTATAAGATAGCCAATAAGAAGCCACCATCTTTTATTTTTCCAAAATGACCAAATTACCCCCAATACTTGAAGTAAATCCATAAATACCCCCTAATTTGAAAAAGAAAGGCATGCAATTCAAATACATCTCTCCCAAATAAACATTTTATCTTTAGCTCCAATTTGAATATCAAAACTAGGGAGATTTGGAGGTTAAAGCCTTGGCTAGGTGAGATGATTCGTTTGATCTGATTTATATCATCAACAGGGAGAATTGCAGTTAAGTTCCCAAACCTTTCTTTTTTCACAGACTTTACTCAAACCTTTCATTTGTACCACTCAGAGTCCTAAACATTTTATTTTGTTGCATGAGAAAGACAGATTGACGGATTTCGTCAATTTTAATGTTAGTTGACGAGAAAAGTTGACTTTAATCATGCCTTGACCATTTTTAAAAGAGTAAAATTGTAAATCTTCAGTATTCTTATTAAATTATTAAACAAAAAAACAAAAAAAAATTACTTTGGAAAAAAATCATCTTCTTTTCAACCCCATATCTCCCCCATCCAACCAACCACCCAACCTTACCACCTCAATAATACCAAAATTTACCCACCTCAATTGTCGCACCAATGACTACCACCATACCCACCCACACCTCCTCACTGCCACCGTCACAGGCCTCAAACAAAACAACCTATGATTGCTTGCTAGGACTCTAATCTTTCTACCATTGCAATGTCATGAAATCGCATTCTAATGAAAATACATCATTAACCTTGCTTGAAAGTCCCAACAACTACCCAAGACCCATTTAATGACACCGACAAATCTAGTTTCTTTGACTTTTGAAACCGGCATTCAGCAACATTTCCTGATTGCATCCATTTCCACGAAAAATGAGCAAAATTGAAGAATTGCATCTTATTCTGGCTTAAATGCCATCCTGCAATACGCATCAGTATGAACAATAGAATCCTATGCCAATAACCCAAACATGAAAGCCCCAACATTTCTCAAAACACTCCGATTTCAAATCAAAAGTGAAACAAAAGTGTATTCTTTTTCAATGGGAAAAGTCAAAATTGATGATAGATTTCAATGCAATAAAGGTTGGTGGTGGGAGGTTTGGATGATGATAGTAGTGGTTTAACATGCGAATCGAGGTGGTACAATAGTGCGGGTAGATGGGTGGCAGTCATCGGTGTGGTAGATGTGGGCAGATTTTGATATTGTTTAGGTGGCAAAGTAGGATGGATGGGGAGGTGGAGGATTGGAAAGAAGATGATTCTTTTCCAAATTATTTTTTATTCAACTAATCGTCAAAAAGATGGAATTTGTCAATATGTCATTCTACTGCAATAAAATAAAAGGTTTAAGACTTTTTTTATTAAAGGAGGGCGATACCTCCGAGATTTTATTAATATGCCATCAATTGTGGTGGAAAAATACCGTGGTTACGTGAAAATAATGAAAGCAATAAATGAGAAAGTACTACTTTCCTTATAATGAAAATAAATGACGAAAGATAAAGCAGTAGACAATGAAGTACTACTTCCTTTACAATAAGAACTAATGCAAATTAAGACAAAAATAAGAATTGCAAGTAAAAATAAAAATCAAACTCTGGCACTGGGCAATCCAAGTCTATCAATTTGTACTAGTGTCCTAATATGTCGTGGTAGATCAAGTAGTCCATATACCTGATATCGTCGATGATCCCAACCCTCAGCAGCAAGAGCATCTGCAACCTGATTTCCTTCTCTGTAAATGTGAGAAACTATATCTCTGTCGAAGGATATGATATCTATGATGCGTCTGAGTATGTCCTGAATAGCCCATGGTTATCATCCTCCAGTAATGCAGTGAATAGCTACTGTAGAATCATACTCAACTCAAATTGTTGAAAAACCAAGTCCTTGAGCTAGTAAAATCATATCAAGAATAGCTCGGAGCTTTGCCTCTAATATCAAGCATGGTTCATACGAAGCTGAGAAAGCCCTGATACAGTGTCATGTGTGATCTCTGATTATACCTCCCCGCTCACAAAACCATCATTGATGCATCCATCAGTATTGATCTTGACAAATCCGACTGATGGAGTATGCCACCAAACTAGAATGGGGGAGATGGGGAAGGGGGTCCATAAAAATACCAAATATGGGTGCAAGTGTCAAATCTCCTTGCCAATGCACCACCCGAAACAGTCCTCCCATATGACAAAAAGAAATTATGCGATAGACCCTCCAAATTATACGTCTGGCTACTATGTAAATCCTCATATACTTTGCATCATTCCTCGTTGTCCATAGATACCAAAATATCAGTAGAGGAATGATAATGTGAATGTGTCTACAACGAACATAATGTCCAGAATACATCCATCTTTGGAATATCTATTTGACTCCCTCTCTGGAACTCATAGGTATCTGAAAAATATCCCAAAAATGCTGCCATACCTAATTGAAGATGCTACTGACAGTGAAAATATGATTGATAGTCTCAGTCTCAGAACAACACTGACAGCGAGAAGCCAACTGGCATCCAATCATCTCCTGAATAACCACATCTACTAGAACGAGGTCCACCATAGTCTCCAGCAGAAGAATGAAATAGTGACGGGCATAATGGAGTTCCATAGTAATCGATACAAATCCTGATACTGGCATCTCGAATGTACGAGCTACCATGCTAACTTGGTAGCGAAGCTACCATCCGATGTATTTCGTCAAACAATTTGATCTGGGTCATCTGCACATAAAAGTATAGCCCCTATCTGCTCCGCCATAAGAGGAGAGAGAACCAGTAATAAACATCCAATATCCCACCCAGTATCATTAAAGAAATCTTGTACCCTAGCAGATGTGTGCTATCGGTGTGGGAATAGGGATGACAAAGTGGTCTCACCCATCCGCAATCGGAAAAAGAAAATCCAACATGCACCAAGGTGCCATGCAATTATATCTCTATCTGGGGCCCAACTAATTTCAGTCTCTTCCAGGTAAGAGAAGTTGAGTAGGGAACTGCTGCAAATAAAGGGTGTGTCCTCGTACAATACTTGCCTCGTAAGAACTGGTCCCAACGAGATCTTTGAGAGTGGAATAACCACCAGAGCTTCATGGAGAAGGTATCCACCACATCATGTAATCTCCTAAAGTCTAGACCACTCGCATTAATAGGAAAGCAAATCTCTTTCCTGCTCCGCCAATATAAACATCGCGCCTGTTATTTGGAATCCTACAGGAATCACGCAAAGATGCTCTCAAGTTTCTTCAGGATAGTCTTAGGGAGATGCATGATCTGAAGAATGTGTAATGGCATGGATTAAAGCACTGACCTCAACAAAGTAATACGGCCCCCATATGATAAAAGTTGTAAAGCCCAACCTAAGATCTTGTCCCTGACCTTCTGGATAAGGTCACCATAAATGAACCTCATGTTGGCTCCCCTAAATAAAGGGACTCCCAGATAAGTAAACGACTGTTGCTGGTGTCGAAAGCCATTCAAAATCTCCAATCGTATGATTGACTAATAGATACCCATTTGGGTAGTATGAGTATGCTCTTGTCCCTGTTCACCAACTGACCAGAAACCCTCTCATAATCTCTAAACAACCAAGAATCCTCTTAATAGACTGTTTCTGGCCGTTGGCGAATATGATCATATCATTAACAAATGAAAGGTGTGAGACAAGAGTACTACCTCCATGTCGATAACACATACTGGGATACTCATAAAATCTCTAAGTGAGCAGGCGTGAGAAGTAATCTGCATCTACGATAAACAAGGATGGTGAAATAGGATCTCCCAGTCTGAGCCCTCATGAGGGGGGGAAAAATCACATTGGCAACCATTTAGGAGTACAGAAAAACCACACTTCGAGATACACTGCCTACTCCTATCAATCCAGATCTGATCAAATCCAAATGTCTCTAATATAGAATAAATAAAGCCTTAATCCATGTGATCATATACTTTAGCCATGTCTAGCTTCAGCATAATGTTACCCCTTCGTACTCTATCATCCAAAGTATGGAGAAGCTTCTGAACTAACAGAACATTATACCCAATTAGGCGACCGGGAATGAACTCACTCTGTTTAGGAGAGATAATACGCGGTAACAGTGTATTCAATGTAGTGTTTTAAAGCTTAGTAATAAGCTTATTGAACACACATAAACTAATGGGTCTGAAGTCGGTCCATCTATAAGCACCGTCCCACTTCGGGAGCAATACTATAGTAGTAGTAGTAGCAAAACCCCATGGAAGATGGCCGCCGTTAAAGACGTCCAAGACTAGCATTTATACATCATCCTGAATATATCCCAGCAATGCTGGAAAAAAGGGATGAGAATCCATTCGGTCCGAAAGCACTGTTAGCATTTATATTAAACACGGCCTTACGTACCTCATGAATCAAATGGATGAAATTTAGTGCCAAATTATCATCCTTCGTCAAAAGCTTGGGGATGATATCAGAACAAATGTGGTTCAACGGCTATGTAGGAGAAAATAGAAGATCTTGATAGAATGCAATAGTTGAAGTCTGAATGTCAAGGAGTAGCTAAGACTTCTCCTGCCTACGTCCTAATGGACCTAATACGCGATTTGATCATACGTCCTTGAACCATCACATAGAAATAATGAGTATTGTGATCTCCTTTACATACCCAACGTGAACCGGCCTTTTGCTTCCAAAAACCCTCCTCAATAGATAAGGTCTGATTCAAAACTACATGTGCATGATATAATAGGTCACGATGCTTCGATATAGGGTCTCTATCATATATTATCTCTTCCTTATCCACCCTATCCTCAGCATCTGGCGCCCGTTGGAAAACATCTCCAAACACATGTCGATTCCACCAACACAGTCCCTATTTCAGCCTAAAGAAATTCTCCCAAATAGCAGCCATCTCCGTAAGATGAGTTGGGAGCGACCACTTTGAGCAACAAATGATGAAAAATCATGATGCTCGGTCCAAATGTTGAACAATCTGGAAGGTCTAGGCCTCAAATCATCGTCAGAAACCCACTGAAGTAATAAAGACGAATGATCAGATGAAGTTAAATTCAAGTGCCTCACTGTAAGCTATCGACAAAATGTTGCAATTGTAGAATTAATGAGTACCCTATCTAGTCTCTTTCTAACTCAATCTTTGGTCCAAGAATACCGATTTCTAAAGAAACCAGCATCCTCCAAACCAAAATCTAACATCATATCAAATAAATCGGTCATGCCTCTATCACGAGTATTATGACCAGTGCGCTCAAATAGATGGGACGCACTAGTTTGGGATCCTCAACGCTAAAAACCAGATCATGTTCGATAGATTCTAAACTCTCGTGTCAAAGCGCAAATATCCTCGAATGTAAATCTATGCTGAAGAACAAAAGGCTCCAGTATAACCAAGAGATAAACCTGACGAAGCTGTATAAGTCTCTTCAGGCGCAGGCGAATAGTTACACTAGCTACACTTCTCGTATTCCATATGATCGTACTCATCTGGATATGCGTGAAGAGGTATCATGTGACCGACTCCTGGTCACCATCCTAGAAAATGAAGTATCAGTAGCTTTCGCATTTCTTTTTCGACTAACTAGGACAAGGCCATCATCTTCTGTCCTACCAGCCATACCTACCAAGTCATCAGCAGAAGATTGACGATATGAACCCTGTTCATGAACTTCAATATGAGAAAAAACATCTGAATTTGACTGATATATAGATAAAAAAGCTTCCATATTGTGCTGACAATGTACAGAGATAACAAGAACATCTAGCTTTGTATAACCATGTGGCCTCTCTAACATATCCACCAAGAGAGGATCAAAATATGTAGAACTAACCATCATAGGTGCACTGTTGATGGGGTCCGGAGACTGAACTGCTAAATGAAAAGTTGATGTAATAATAGGAGAACTCATAGCATCCACCCTAATGGGTGCAACTATAGAATGATCTGATGGTAGAGAGGTATAATATGTGGAGCAATATTGCTAGTAACATGTA